GTAAGGTGACAGGTAGAGTAGTAAAAATGAGAACAGTCGTCAGCATGATAATATGAACAAGGATTTCGACATAGGAAGTACGTTAAAACCAGAAAAAGTAAACACACTAAAATAATAACCATTAGGAATTAAGTGATAAGAAGTGTGTGGACAATCTGCTTAAGTATGCAACTAATAAATAAGAGGTATGAAAAGGGTGAGAAGATATAAGATAATGTAATAAGAAGATTATCAGGTATGAGAAGTGTGATAAAGATCTAATTGAAAACAGTATTGTTCGCTTGTGTATTGCATCAAAGCTTTAATGGTACTTTTTGGTTCTTAGTGACTTTCTAAAGGATCACTTCAGAACGACTGCAATTTTTCAATCACAGCTAGCTGTTTCGAAACTAAGCTGGTAAATGTTAAAATGGATAGTTGATCAGAAAATGGATTCCAGTATTTATTAATAAAAACAATGAAAAATAGAAAAGAATTTTAAAGTAGTTATTCTAAAAAAGGCTAGATTAGCAATCTACATTATTATTCATGAAGTTAATAGATTGATGGATGATATAGTATTGATGCGATAACTTGTAAGTTATTTCCAAAGTATTTTCGATATTAGGTGAATAAATTTACACTAGGTGTAACTATACTTTAATCAAAACTTATCTTGAAAATCACCCAACAAAGATATTTGTATTATTATGGTATTGACGACTGATTCACTAACGAAACTAATGTAATAATGTTGTATTTTGCGCTTGTCTTATGGTTACTTTTAATTACAAACAATTGTGATTTTTCTGATAGGAACGCGATCTAATGCGAAGTTGATGGACTGGTTAACTGACAAACACAATACTTCAACAGTCAGTCAGTCAGTAACAACGTAGAACTTCGTACGTACGTACATCAGTTCGAGTTGCCACACCACATTAGCACAGAGATGCAGTTGTCGATTCAAATCCCGTAGTGGTAGAGGTAATAAGAGTATAGGCAGTAATCGGGAAGATTAGGGTTTGGAGATGTTGTTTAAAGAGTATAATCCAGTGAAATAAATTTGGAAAGAGGAAAAAAGGGATTTCAACAATTATCACCAACGCGTTGGAACACAGAGGGAAGATAGATGCTTGGAGAAAGATAGACATTTAAGAAGGTTTAAAAATCCCCGTAGAATATTCAAAAATGAAGAATATTTGAGAACATTTAAGAAGGTCATAGGAAATTTCAAGAATATTATTTATAGATAGATACAACATAAAAATTGTCATAGTTCGAACAGACACCATAATACGAGGTCAACAAGCGGATATAATAATTGTCAAATGAGCTAAGAAGGGATATGAATAAAATAAAACAAAAACAAGGCATATATCTGATAAGAATAAACACATCTGTTTATTCGGGATCTATTTCAGATTGTCGTACACAACTTTCAACTAGTAACTTCCAATATTACAGGAGCCCAATCAAATAGGTAGACAGGATCCTGCAGGAAAACAAATACACAATCAATGACTACATGAGCAAGACTCGTAACCTTTCTAGCCTAAACTTACATCAAGAGTCGTCGTAAGATTTGATATTCACACTGAATGAATACATGTTCAGTTAACATAATCCCTAGTGCTACAGCTCCTCTTTCCGTTATCTATATTGGTGTTTATTTAGAGAACAAAATGCTGATTTTAAACAAAAGAGAAAACACTTAAGATAAATAATCAGATCTTTAAATTTTAAAAAAGGTTCGTCAAGGAAATCAACCAGAGTGAGACAGTAAGCAATGAAGAGAGGACGAATTGAATTTCCTTACACAAAAATTACAATAGCTATACATTGGAGAAAAAGCAAAGAACAAATAATAATGTGTTTTTGCACATAAATCCACTTGGTAATAAGTAAATAAAAACGTAAACATAAACAGTTTTTGTAAGACTGCAAGGTCAGTTTACAGCATGAATAATCATAATAAAAGCTACTACCACCATTATTACTTCTACTGCTGCATGATCACCACTCCCACCTACAACCATAGCACTGGTTTTCGGTGTATACAGTTTACAACTCGATATTTTATATTTACATAACACTTATGTGCACACAAGTTTGTTTATGAACGGTGATAGTCCGCCTTAGGGAAATCATTTTGAATGGAGGAAAGGAAAACAATATTATTATTTCATGCATATACGGATGGATTGTAATAGTTAATAATCATTTACATGTGTACAACAGTATTATTAACATGAAATATGAGATACTAGTAGAAAACAACTTATAACCTTAACCGTTTAACAAAATAAACCTTTCATAACAGAAGAGAATTTCTTAAAATTTTAAAACTGTGTATCCAAAACTTTGTACTTGATATTATGACTTCACTTAAATAAAGTGATGTTTGTTTGTTTACATTAAAAGATGGTAATAAGTAGATGAATACCTTCCGTTTCACATCACAAACTGACCTAAAAATAGTGAAAATCAAGAGGGAATAGAATACCACCTCATTTTCACATGAGATTTCTAATAAGTCACCATCCGAATCACGAAAACTATTTAGGCTGACAAGAGAATATTTGTTGCCACAATGACTAGGAATATTATATAATCAACAAAATGCTAGAATCCCACGTGGAAGAGTGATTTTTCGAACACACAGTAAGTGGTTTCAGTAACTTTGAAAGGTATCATTATTATATGAAAACATGTGTAATGATTGACGTTGCAGGTATTTGTACCGCATGATAGCGACAGTCAGATTAAGACTATTTCAGAATTTAGCTCAAGAAACGTTTCAGTATTAAGCTGACTATCGTCATGATAATAATGTAAAAGTTAATGCTGAAATATTTGCTAACTGAAATCGAGTCAGATGACGTAGAATAAAATAACAGTTAGAAAAAAAAACAAATTAACTACTATGTGAAAATATCGACATTCTTATCACTATTTTGCAAAATGCTTCAGAGTAATGCTCATCATTTATACAAATTTTTAACTATAGAGAGAACTCACTAACAAACGGAGAAGGTTACAGAAGAAGTATTAATTCATACAAGTAAAATTATTGTTGAATCGTAACTGAAAGTGATGGGAAACACTTGATAAATGATATCAAAGTCTTCCTAGTCACTTAACTTCAATCAGCAAAAATCAAACAAGATTCATCTTGACATTAACTATTTATTTATAGATTCACGTTATGTTTCTTAGTTGACATACTATAGAATAAGGGTACGACATACTTTACACGGTATCAAATACGGCTGTGCATATACAAAAATGAATCGATTTATCACGGGTACTTTGACTTCGAATGTTCAAGAAATCAATACAGTGAAAGTGCTTTCTAACAAATGAATTATTAGGCAATCCCATGCGCATGTCATTTCATTCCGTTTTACTTGGACTGAGAGAACGCTCGGGAAAATATAAATAGTTGTGAATCTTTCAGCTAGACAATAAACGAGCGGAACATTCACTGATTGAAGAAAATTTGAAACGAGTTGAATAGCCAAGGTATCTGATTGAATCAGTAAAACACCGAGTTGAGAAAGAATTATACAGAAATTCATCTACTAAATACGTGTAGTCTTGCAGTTTATTCTAACGAAATTCGGAATAATAAGTATTAGTTCTATGAAATAATTCGATAAGGCAAACAAATACACACAAGTAAAATAGGTTTCTGCCATTCATACACTCACACATACACTCAGTGATAAACCATTATAATGTACCAACTTACAGACAAAGGTAACTAAGTTAACCCACATTTTCCTCGTCTAGTAAATGAACGGGTACATCAATCTACACGCTATTTATTATTATTATTATTATTATTATTATTATTATTATTATTATTATTACTTCATATCATGATGATTCAACTGTTATTTTTGATGATTCAGATAAATTATTAAACAACCTGTTGGAATTACATACATCGCATCTCATTAATTAACAAATATTTTACGTTTGGTTTATTTATCATCAATGATGGTTTCATTATTCTCTTGTTTTAATTTGATGAAGATTAATTATCCACATACAAATGATTCATAATAATGATAATAATAAATTTTGATTGTCTGTAGATGAACTTCTAATGATGATTGACGGCGAATAATATTCACAGCATTTTTCGTTAGACATTCGATACATTTAGATAAGACGAATTCAGTCTTTTGAATGCTGATTGACTGACTAAGGATAGTTAACTTCGTGAGAGAATAAAATTTGAATTTGTAAGGAGACTTGTATTCCAAATGGAATCTATGAATTGCTGATTCAAAGCAAAACTACGTAGTTAATTTAACAAACTTAACTGCTGAATATAGTTTGAACAGGATCTCATCAATGAGTACAATATATTCATGTTGTGTTTGTAAGGTGATCCCACAATACATTGTTGGATATCAGCTAAAATTAGGTAGATTTAGTTATCCAAGTGATGACCAGATTATTTAAGATAATCGTAGTTGGTAGACTGTTGTATGTGTATAACAATGAGCAGTATAGGTTGTACAATAGACAAGTCTTGCATAACTTCATCTCGGATTCAAATTGAAAGCACCCAAATAAAGAAAAATCCTATTATTAGGTATTTTTAAATCACCTAATCTATACGAAACTTGCGTTATTTGACGAATGAGATTTATATCGATTTAAAGTAGTAACTACAGTACAGAATAAGCTGAATGACAGCACGTAAATGAATGCAACCAGTGCATCAGGATAGCCATTTGACATATGTTTAGATTTCTGAAAAATTCCAAATTAGAGCAAAACACCAGGCAAATGCTCCTTAGTTGCGCTAAAGTGATTAGCTGGTGGCAATCAGTGACGAGAGATATTTTCAAATTGATAAGTAATGGAGTAAAATACACATATATTATTAGGCAATTTATTGTAGAAAAACTATTGAAAGAAACACCCCAGTAAAAGAGAAATAGCTCAAATAATCGCAAACTTCAAAAAGGATATACATTTACAGACAAATCAGATATAATTACCTGCATCACCGATAGCAAATTTGATTGGTTCACGTCGAGGTTGATCGTTAACCAAAGCCAGAAACCATATCCCTTCATCTAAATAATGCAAACGCCCAGTTTCACGTAATTCATCCTACGAAATTGGAGATAAAATGGAGAAAATTAGTTCAAAATATTTGATATATAAGTTCATTCTAATCAGTCATATACATGGAACCTGTAAACATTTTGTTCAAAAGAAATCTCATTTCTTAGTGCAATAAAGATACGAGGTAGACGCAAATAATAACGAAAATCTCGTGTAAATAGGAGTAACATGCGTGTGGAACCAATATGCTTCAACAACGAAATATAAAGAATGAATATACAGCATAAAAATGAAGAATCCCGAGATTGTATAAACTTCACCTAGCTCGATTTTCATAGCATTTATAAAGGGTAATGATTTTATCGTTTACTGAGCCTCTATAACCGTGAATTGATTAATTCATTTCAAGATAACTAGTGAAACACTATTATCGGAGACTATTTTGTTATTTATACTACTTTTTTTAATGAAAAAAACGGTTCGAGGTAGTATTTTAATTCATTATATAGGTAAGCTACATAATGGCCAAATAAGTGAATTCACAAAAAGTTTTCACAGTTGAAGCAATGTTTTAGTCTAATTGTAGAATGAAATAACCAAGAAGTAATAGACAATTATATTTCAAGATTACTTGCTCATGCCTGTTACCCCCCATAGAGTAGTATAGGGTTTTCTACCAGCATTCTCGATCCAATTCTTTCCTGGGAAATCCTTTCCAGCTTCTATTCATCTTTATCATGTCTGCTTCCAATTCTCGACGCAGTGTGTTCTTTGGCTTTCCTCATTGCCATTTCCCTTTGGATTCCAAGTTATAGCTTGCCTCGTGATGCAGTTTGATAATTTCCTTAATGTGTTCCCTATCCTCTTTCAGCATCTTTTCCAAATTTCCTCTTCAGATGGAAGCTGGTTTGCCCTCTACGATAGTAAGTTGTTGTTGATGGTATGCGGCCAACGGACACTAAGTATCGTGCGTAGAAAATTGTTTAGAAATACTTTTACCATTTGATAGTAGAACTGTCTTGACGTTCTCATTGAAGATTATGGGTTTGATCCTAGTTGACAGTTGTTTTGAGTTCCATATGTTCTTCAACTGTAGGAATGCTGTCCTTGTTTTGCCAATACTTGTATTTACATCTGCGTCGCATCCTCTCTGTTCATCGATTATGCTGTTCAGGCACGTGAGAGTTTCCACCTCTTCTAGAGCTTCTCCATTAAGTGTGATTGGGTTGGTGTTCTTCATGTATTTTTTGAGCATCTTGTTTTTTTTCCCTGTGTATGTTGAGGCATACTGATGCAGAGGCTGCTGCTACACTGGTTTTCATCGCCTGCATTTGTTGCTGTGTGTGGGATAGAAGAGCTACGCCATTTTCCAAGTCCAAATAATCTAATTGCATCTAAACAATCAATTGTATTCTGTGCTTCCCCTCAGATGTAGAAGTCTTCATAATCCAGTCAAACACCAGAAGAAAGAGGCACACCATAGGGTCAAAGAGGGTTGGATAAGTTTCTCTTATCCACATTTCCAGATGCTTTCTGATAGTCAAGGAAGTTGATGTATAATGATGATTCTATTCAATCGACTGTTCAACAATGAACCGTATTGTCACGATTCGGTCGGTACACGGCAGATCATTATGAAATCTAGTTTGTCAATCTTAATGTTGACTGTATGCTGCATCCTTCATTCGGTTCATCAACACTATTGCATGTTGTCCAATAATATCTTCATACCCGGTGTTGCCCATCCCGACTTTGGCGTTTGGGTCTCTCATCAGGATGGTCAGGTTTTTTCCTGAGCACTTCGGTATGATCGATTGCAGCTCCCTGAATGCCCTGGTACGGCCGAGAGTGGGGAGAGTCCGCTCTCCCTCTCGAAATACTCTCACACGGCCACGCGTATACAGCCTCTGCCAGGGAAGTCCTACTCATTGCCTTCTCGTGGCGGGGGTGTTGTTTACGAAAATGAGAGGACGAAAAGCGAATGTCCGGCGCTTTAACCGGATTCCAAATCAATGGTGCACATGGGCTCCAGTATCCTGCGGGAACGAATGGCGTATGAACCAATCGTTGGTCACCGGCTACCATGGGACTGCATCTCCTTACGATGCTCCACTGCCTTGTGGGTTAGACCTTTAGGTCAAAGGCTCGGGGAGTGGCCCCCTAAGATAACCACCTGCTTCGGTTTGGGCACCCGGGCAGTATCACAGCCCACACACAAATGATGAACTCTTTATGTCTATGGAAATTACTTTTGTCGCTTTGAAAAACAAACAATTGATTCAGATTATTATCATTACAATTATTGTCATTATTAATACTAATATTATTATTACTACTATTATTGTCATTATTGTTATTATTATCATTATTATTATTATTTTCCACATTATTCACCCTCTTTTATACTTATACAGCGGCTCGTCTTTGGTGGAAATCCGACTGTATCTAAACGTTCTCGAGTCACTGTCCGGTTGAAAATTGTATGTTACCACCGAATACGAGGACTGAAGCAGATTTTCTGAAACCACGTGCACCATTCAAACTGGCTGCCTTCAACGTTCGCACATTTATGCAGGTCGGACAACAGATAGGGCTGGCTATGTCTTTGGAAAGTCTTAATATCGACGTGTGTTGTCTATCCGAGACCCGTATTCAAGACTCTGGCGAAGTACTACAAATTCGATCTCCATCTGTCGCTTCGAAAAGCTTGTTTTACGTGCGCTTATCCGGGGACCCTGTGGCATCTTCGTCTGGTCTTGCTGGCGTTGGTGTCGCACTAAGCGCTAGAGCTGAGGCAGCACTAGTCGATTGGATCCCCATTAACAGTCGGTTATGTGCTGTTAGATTAGAAAGTTCCATCAAAGTGAGAAGAAATCGGCGTGAGAAACGATGTCTTTTCGTCATCTCCGCCTATGCCCCGACAGATTGCAGCCCGGATGCAATCAAGGATGAGTTTTACCACCAGTTATCAGTTCTTCTCCAGAAAGTGCGTTCGACAGATATTGTAGTACTAGCCGGAGACTTGAATGCTCAGGTCGGGCGTCTAGGCACAGAAGAGAGTCGTTTAGGTGGCCGATGGGGACTCGTTGGTCGCAGGTCAGATAACGGGGACCGTCTACTGCAACTTTGCACAGACCACAACCTGTTTCTGGCTAGCACTAACTTTCGGCACAGTCATCGCCGATGTGCCACCTGGCGTCCTCCCTCTGCATCTCAAGCCTGGACTCAGATTGATCACATCGCGATCAGCTACCGCTGGCGTGGTTGTGTAAAAGACTGCCGCTCCTTTTGGAGTACCTATCTGGACTCTGACCATGCCTTGGTCTGCGCCAATCTTGCCTTACTTTTCAGTGGACAACGAAGTGAACGCCATCAACGGATTGATGTTAGCAAGCTGGTTGCAACTTCTGTTGCAAGTAAGTATCGAACCGAGCTAGCCTCTAGGCTAGCTACCACTCCACCGAAAAGTATAGATGAGCATTGGTTGCAATTGCATGACGCCATGAAAATGGCGGGAACAGTCAGTTGTGGGTTTGCGAAACGTCCCGCTTTTAAGCACTGGGTTTCTTCTGGTTCCTTACAACTCATTGAAGCCCGTCGGTCTACTCCGGGTGACCGTGAGTTTGACCATAAACGAAGGATGTTACGTAAGGAAATTGGGCAAAGCTTGCGTAAGGACCGAGAAGCCTGGTGGTCGATGCGTGCTAATGAGCTGGAAGCAGCAGCTGCATCTGGTAACTACCGGAAGCTCTTCCAGCTCATCCGAGCCACTGGCAGCAAGAAGTCTGGTGTGAGTGAAACAATCTGCGAGGATGATGGGATGCCAATCACTAACATCCATCGACGTCTTGGACGATGGGCAGAATTTTTCGAAGGGCAGTTCAACTGGCCTGCTGCTCCGGCAACATCGGTCAGACTGTCCTGCCCTCCATGGCCGGTGACGACTGATCCACCAAATGAGGAGGAAGTCCGCAAGGAACTCCAACTCTTGAAGCGTTACAAATCACCTGGCCCAGATGACTTACCTCCGGCTCTTTTTAAAGATGGTGGTGACTTTTTGACTAAGGAATTGACGACGTTGTTTACAAAGGTTTGGGAACTAGAGAGTGTACCAACGTCATGGAATGAGTCGATAGTTGTCCCTATCTTTAAAAAGGGTTCACGTCGTTCTTGTAACAACTATCGGGGGATAAGTTTACTTCCGATTGCGTCCAAGCTATTGGCTTCCGTCATTCTTCGTAGGTTGTTCAAAACCCGAGAAAGATTGACTCGCGAGGAGCAGGCTGGGTTTCGTTCTGGTCGAGGATGTATTGATCATATCTTCACCCTCCGCCAAATGTTAGAACACCGCCATACTTTTCAAAGGCCAACAATCGTAGTGTTTCTTGACATCAGGGCTGCCTTCGATTCGTTGGATAGGACTGTTCTCTGGGATTGTCTATTGAAGAAGGGTGTGCCTGAGAAGTTTATTAACATCCTAAAAGCCCTATATAAAAACACCTCAGGCAGAGTGAGGGCATACAACCACCTCTCTCCATTGTTCCATTCGAGCAGTGGGGTTAGGCAGGGTTGCCCAATCTCACCATTCCTCTTCAACTTTGCCATCGATGACATTCTGGAAACAGCTCTGATGAATGTAAGTAATGGTGGTGTGGATCTGTTGCCTGGAGAAAGACTTCTCGACCTTGAGTATGCGGACGATATTGTCTTACTGTGCGATAATGCCCAAGGCATGCAATCCGCACTTAATCAGTTGGCAATCAGTGTCCGTAGGTATGGTATGTGCTTTGCACCTTCGAAGTGCAAAGTACTTCTACAAGACTGGCAGGATTCTAATCCTGTACTCACCCTGGACGGTGAGCAGATAGACGTAGTTGAGAAGTTCGTGTATCTGGGTAGCTGCATAAGTGCTGGTGGGGGTGTGAGTGATGAGATCAATGCACGAATAGTGAAAGCCAGAGCGGCTTATGCCAATCTGGGCCACCTTTGGCGCCTTCGTGATGTTAGTCTGGCTGTAAAAGGTCGGATCTACAACGCGTCGGTGA